GTCAAGCTATTGCCTGCTGTGAGTGGGGGGGGACGTGAGGAGGGTGAGTAAAGAGGAGGAGTGGAAAGAAGGAGGCAGAGAGAAATTAGTCAAATGTAGACGTAGGGAGGTTGAAATCCCCCAAAACTGTGAAGGGTGAGCCATCCTCAGGAAAGGAACTTATCAAGGCATCAAGCTCATTGATGAACTCTCCAAGGGAACCTGGAGGGCGATAGATGACAAGGATATTAAGCTTAAATGGGCTAGTGACTGTGACAGCGTGGAATTCAAATGAGGAGATAGACAGATGGGTTAGGGGAAAAATTGAGAATGACCACTTGGGAGAGATGAGGATTCCTGTGCCACCACCCCTCTGACCAGATGCTTTCGGGGTATGCGAGAACACATGGTCAGACGAGGAGAGAGCAGTAGGAGTAGCAGTTGTTTTCAGTGGTAATCCATGTTTCCGTCAGCGCCAGGAAGTCGAGGGACTGGAGGGTAGCATAGGCTGGGATGAAGTCAGCCTTGTTGGCAGCAGAACGGCAGTTCCAGAGGCTGCCTGAGACCTGGAACTCCAGGTGTGTGGTGCGTGCAGGGACCACCAGGTTAGAGAGGCAGCAGCCACGTGGTGTGAGGCGTTTGTGTAGCCTGTGCGGAGAGGAGAGAACAGGGATAGGCAGAGGCATAGTTGACAGGCTGTAGCAGATGGCTACAATAATGCAGAGGAGATCGGAATGAAATGAACTAAACATCTGGGAAAGGAGAGAGCAGGGCCTCCCTTACCAAAAAAATATAACTCTCCCAACTTCCACCTCAGAAACTATAATTGTTTCACTGAACCACCCGAATAAAACTCTCCCAACTTCCACTTTAGAAATTAGAATTGTTGTAAACTACAGCGGTTCAATGTTTCAAGGAATAGACTCAACTTACTTTATTCAGCTAGCTAACTATGACGCCATAGCTAACTAGCATGCTAGCATCCAATAACACACAGTTTAGCACCAATACTTGGTTACAACAAACTACCAATAGTGTGTTAACACACTAAACAGATAATTCGTGTCCGTGTCTAGTTCTTTCATAACGCAGCAATAATTAAACGTTGGCTAGCTAGCACAAAGATATTGTATTTAGCTACCACAGTACAGCTAGCTGGTAGTGTTGGCTAGCTAGCAATGGCTGCTGTGTTGACTTTGTTTGAAAAACGGCGTCGCTGCGAACGAATGTAGCTGGCTAAAAGGATATTGTATTTAGTTGCTACCGTTGCTAATAGCTACTCCAACTAGTCCAGGAGGTGAGTTAGCTAGCTAGCTTCGTGCTACACCCGGCACCGCCGCACCGCCGAATACAAAAGTAACCTACAATAACTACATACAACAACTACCCACAACAGCCCACGATGCCTACCTATAATACCTAGTAATATACAGCCCACGATGCCTACCTATAATACCTAACTACAATCTAAATACATAGTTTAAGCCTCACTCGACAAAGCCCAAGCTATGTATAAAGCCAAACTTACCCGACGCCAGCTGTCTGGGTGGCAGACTGCAATCAGTAGCTGTAATTAAGTACAGCAGCTACCAACCACCTAACGTTAATGCCTCGGATAATGAGGTTAGAAAAACAGCTGAATGGTAGGCAGCTAGCTGGCTCAATTACAGGTACTCTTAAGCGTGAAATAACATTGGAAACAACTAACCACAGTTGCTAAAAGTGGTTAGTTTATGTTACCAAAGTTTATGTTCCAAACTGCCAAATGTATACCTTCATTGGTGTAGGAGAATGTTAATGCTAAAAAGTTGTCTAGGAGAGATTGTATTTTTTGGCTACTAATTGCTTTTTGGTAGATTTCTGTACTGTTTGCACTCCATCTATAGGTCTGTTTAGTACCATGTAATTTATTGGGCCGTGATGCTTCATGGTTGGGTTCTGCTCTTTTCAGATACACTGTGATTTTACTGTGGTCAGAGAGAGGTGTTAGTGGGCTGACTGTGAAGGCTCTGAGAGACTCTGGGTTAAGGTCTGTGATGAAGTAGTCTACAGTACTGCTGCCAAGGGATGAGCTGTAGGTGTACCTACCAAAAGAGTCCCCTCTTAACCTACCATTGACTATGTACAGACCCAGTGTTCGACATAGCTTCAGGAACTGTACTCCATTTTTGTTTTTCACTTTGTCATAGTTGTTTCTGGGGGGGTATGTGGGGAGGGAAAAGTTGTTGCTTCCCGGTAGGTGTTTGTCCCCATGACTGTTAATAGTGTCTAGTTCTTCTGCTGTTCTAGCATTCAGGTCTCCACAGACCAGCACGTTGCCTTGGGCCTGAAAGTGACTAATCTCCCCCTAGAGAATGGAGAAACTCTCTTCATTGAAGTAGGGTGACTCTGAGGAGGGAATGTATGTGAAACCGAGGAAGACATTTTTATCTGTTAAGATAGCCAGATAAAGAATTATCCTGTTTTGATCATTTGATTGAATTAGTTAGTTCAGATGTATACTATATTAGCATTCCCCCTGAGTCTCTGCCCTGTGTGATTCCTTTTAATTTGGTGGATGGTACGATTATCTCCCTATAACCTAGTGGACAGCAAGTGGAAACATCACCTCTGCACCATGTTTCCTGTAGTACTACAATATCAACATAATCAATTTCTTTAAGGAAGTCTGGGTTTCTGCTCTTTAGCCCAAAAGCAGAGGACTTCAATCCTTGTAAATTCCAACATGCAATGTAAAAAGATTTCATAACTGTTTTTTCTTTACCTTCAAAATGAACACTAACAATCCAACAAGAACTATTAAAATATGATTTTTCAATTAACGTAAACTCTTATTATGCAAATGTGATTTGTTTATCATTTAAGATAGCATTTGTGTCATACCACTTGGGTGGATGTAGTGTGAGGATGGTGGAGTTCTTGTGCTCCTCTTACCATGACCCTCGGCCTACCACATGTGAGCATAGTAGATTCAGCATTTGTTTGATGTCACTCATTTCGTTGGTGGGGGCTGGGCCAGTTGCTCCTCTCACAGCCTGTGCATAGCTCTGCCTGCCAGGCTGTGGCTCCTCCAGGTGTGGGTCTGCGGTGGGGGGGAGGGGGGTGGTAGACCTCATCTGGGTGGGTCTGAAGCTGGGCTGGGGTAGTCTGTGCTGCGCTGGCTGTGGTGGGCATTGAGGTTGGTGGTGCTGTGGCAGTGGCTGGGGGGTCCAGGGTGCTGGTCCGGGGTGTTGTCTCTGTGATCTCAGGGGGGGTGGAGTTTGCTCCGCTGTTGCTGGGTGGAGAGGTCGGGCTGCGGTTTAAAGCGACGTCCTTGAGAGTCTTGGTAAGGATGGGGACTGTCTCCCTGTACAGGTGAACATGGTCATAGAGACAGTCCAGATCGAGGGTGAGATGGTGGGCCAGGTGTACATTGGGTCGCAGGGCACAGTCCCGGGAGAGGCTGGCATTTATTCTTTGGATTGTGGCAGGGTGGAAGTCCTTCCTCTGTAGAAGGGTTGACACCACGATCCTTGAGTTGGGGAATATTGCACAGGCCTTCTCAATCACTCCCCGTAGTGAAGTCGCCACCCTCTCCTGTTGATCACGCAGGTCGTTGCTTCCGGTGTGTAGGATTATGTGGCTTGGCGACCCGAGCTGGACCTTATCAAGCAGCGCCATGGCATTCTGCGTTGTTGGGCACCACACCTTTCTCGTTTTGTGTCTAGGGAAAAGTTTATTCTGCTGAACAAACTTCCCATTTGAGTCCATCAACAGGACGATCTCAGCCAGTGTTTCTTCTGGACTGGAGGGGGTAGAGTGGGGGCTGGTGGGTGTTGGAGCTGGGGTGTGGCTGGTCTGTGCCGGTGCCGCTGTCAGTGGGAGGCTGTTCTGTGGGCTGGGGGAGGCATGCAGCCGGCAGGGCTGGGGAGGCCTGGCTGGTTGAGGTGGGCTCCTCTGCTGTGTGAGGGCAGGTCATAGAGTGGTGATCTAGCTGCTCCTGCAGCCTGTCCTCTGTTCTCTTTCTCTCCTGCAGCTCCTTTCTCAGTTCGTTATTACTGCTCTGCCTGTCTTTTTGGAACTCTCTCACCTCCTTTGTTAGATCAGCCAGCTCTCTCTTGAGTCCGTCTCTCTCTTGCTGAACTTCTTTCAGCTGTGTTGCAAGGCTGCTGTCCTGCTCTGTCCGCACCTTGGTTAGGAGCTCCTCTATGGTGTGGATGTCTGGTTGCTGTTTGCACACACTCTCCCTGAGCAGGACCACCTCCCCCTCCAGTTTGGTGAACTGATCCCTCATGGCACCCATGAGGGTGAGCAGGGCCTGAGCCTGCTCTGCACTGAGGGGGTCGCTCTCCTCCTGGGGCGTGTCCTCCACTATGGTGGGAAGAGAGGTGCTGGATGTGCCTTTTTGGGTGGGAATAGTGGGGGTGAGGGTGGTGCTGGTGGAGTTTGTCTTGTGGGAGGGCATGTCACTGGTGGTGTCCTTCTCTCTCTCTGCTCTCTCCTTAATGGTCTGAAAGTCTGTTTTCAAACAGCCTAAGGTTACCTTGCACCATGACAGTCCCAGTCTTGTAGAGGTTGATTGTTATCATGGTGTTGTCAGGGTCGTCTGTCTCTTTGACTTTCAGCTTCCACCCATTACAGATTCCCTCTTTCTTTATGGATGGGTAGTGAGAGCAGACTGCTGAGCGCCATGCATTTGGCTGGTCAGTGAGAAAGATGAGATTACTCACATCATTGTTTTTGTAGAGGTCTGCGAAAAGGGTTTCTGGCCTCCCCTTTAGTAGTTTCTGTTTAAAAGCTTTCCTCGTTATGTCATTTTTGGCCTATGGAGGGTAGAGAATGGACTCAGCGCTGAGGGGGAGTGGGGACATGGTGCCTGTGAGCTCTGCTACTACTGCTGCTGCTGCTCTGTTCTGCTGCACCATTGCCATGTCAACCAGCTTTGTTTGTCTGCTGCTGTTGCTAGCTAGCTCCTGTTTAGCTAAAAAAACAGCAAAAAGAGTGAAAAATCTTCACACACAAAAACAGAAGATATGTTTAAAGTTAGAGTCTGTGCTTCTTTTTGATTTACTCAGTTTGGTTGTATGATGTAGTTGTATTAACTCCCCTTGCTAGGTTTGTTCTAGCTAAATTTTCTGGCTGGCTTGTTAGCCTGCTGGCTAGGTCTTTGTTGTGTAGCTAGCTAGCGAGAGCCAAAGTAACTTTTTTTTTCTTCCTATTTTGATTGAATTGAGTTGTTGTTCATCACTTCTTGTCTTTAATTCTTTTTAGATTCGAGTGTTTATCTCATTCTAAAAACAACAAAAAACAGAAATAAATCAGGAGCTCATGTTGAGCATGTCTCTCTCTCTCCACACTCGGTAGTTCTTCTCTCTCTCTATCTCTCTCTCTCTTACACACTCGGTAGTTCTCTCTCTCTATCTCTCTCTCTCACACACTGTAGTTCTCTCTCTATCTCTTTCTCTCACACACTGTAGTTCTTCTCTCTCTCTATCTCTCTCTCACACACTCTGTAGTTCTCTCTCTCACACACACTGTAGTTCTTCTCTCTCTATCTCTCTCTCTCTCACACACTCGGTAGTTCTTCTCTCTCTCTCTATCTCTCTCTCTCACACACACTGTAGTTCTTTCTCTATCTCTTTCTCTCACACACTGTAGTTCTTCTCTCTCTATCTCTCTCTCACACACTCGGTAGTTCTCTCTCTCACACTGTAGTTCTTCTCTCTCTCTATCTCTCTCTCTCACACACTCTGTACTTATTCTCTCTCTCTCTCTCTCACACACACTCGGTAGTTCTCTCTCTCACACACACTCGGTAGTTCTTCTCTCTCTCTCTCTCTCTCTCTCTCTCTCTCGCTCTCTCTCTCTCTCTCTCTCTCACTCTGGATAAGAGCGTCTGCTAAATGACGTAAATGTAAATATGAAGAATAATGTGTGTTTTACAGTATTACGTTTTGATCTGGGTTTATATGAAGAATAATGTGTGTTTTACAGTGTTACGTCTTGATCTGGGTTTATATGAAGAATAATGTGTGTTTTACAGTGTTACGTCTTGATCTCTCTCTCTCTCTCACACACTCGGTAGTTCTCTCTCTCACACACACACACTCGGTAGTTCTCTCTCTCACACACACTCGGTAGTTCTTCTCTCTCTCTCTCTCTCTCTCTCTCTCTCTCTCTCTCTCTCTCTCACACACACACACACTCAGTAGTTTTCTCTCTCTCTCTCTCACACTCGGTAGTTCTCTTTCTCACACACTGTAGTTCTTCTCTCTCTCTCTCTCTCACACACTCGGTAGTTCTTCTCTCTCTCTCTCTCACTCTGGATAAGAGCGTCTGCTAAATGACGTAAATGTAAATATGAAGAATAATGTGTGTTTTACAGTATTACGTTTTGATCTGGGTTTATATGAAGAATAATGTGTGTTTTACAGTGTTATGTCTTGATCTGGGTTTATATGAAGAATAATGTGTGTTTTACGTCTTGATCTGGGTTTATATGAAGAATAATGTGTGTTTTACAGTGTTATGTCTTGATCTGGGTTTATATGAAGAATAATGTGTGTTTTACAGTGTTATGTCTTGATCTGGGTTTATATGAAGAATAATGTGTGTTTTACAGTGTTACGTCTTGATCTGGGTTTATATGAAGAATAATGTGTGTTTTACAGTGTTATGTCTTGATCTGGGTTTACATTTACATTTACATTTTAGTAGACACTCTTATCCAGAGCGATTTACAGGAGCAATTAGGGTTAAGTGCCTTGCTCAAGGGCACATCGACAGGTTTTTCACCTAGTCGGCTCTGGGATTAGAACCAGCGACCTTTCGGTTACTGGCACAACGCTCTTACCCACTAAGCTACCTGCCGCCCGTTTATATGAAGAATAATGTATGTTTTAGCTGTTAACCTCCTCCCCATACAGTCCCTTTGGTACTTAAACAGATCCAGATGCCGACCACCTTTAAGCCCCCCTCAAACCCAGACCCAGGGAATGTAGGGTAGTATAGCATGTGGTCGGTTTCACTGCTAGTGCACACTGCACAATGGCATTCTTATCCCCCCCCCCTTCTTTTCTAGCCTGTATCTACACTATAAACTATAGTGAAATGCAGGGTATGCAGGGTTTCACTTCTAGTGCACACTGCACAAGGGCATTCTTAGCCCTCACCTCAAACTGAATTGTTACATTTTACTCTATTCACGCCGTTTCACACTGTAATTAATTTTGGATGCAGGCTACCCCGTCTCTATTCCTCATCTCAATCCCTACTTCTCAACAAACATGTCCAACATATTTGTGTATGTTGAGTATGTCTATGAACTGCATACAAACAAATCCTTGCCTATAGAAGTATTGTATTTGTAATAATTGTATGGAATTTCGGGAGTTTCAGGTGGTGCAATTACTTTGACTGTTTGAATGAGCAGTCACTGAAAATCTAAACGAAATCTGCACAAATGCTTTTCCTCTTTTAGTTTATCTAACGCAACCGAGCGTAACAAAGCAGGTGCTTCCTGTTAGTGGTGTGTGTGACCTCTGCTGAGCAGTGGGTTAGAGAGAGAGAGAGAGCGAGAGAGAGAGAGGACCTTGACTTTTGACACTATTGAGACATCCACACAGAAACAGAGAGACAGAGACATAGAGAGAAAATGAGAGAAGGAAAGATAGTGTGAAAGAGAGGAAAGAGTGTGTGAGACATACAATGCAAAGGTGAGACCCTGAACCACAGTGAGCTCGTGTGCTATGGGTGATTATTGTAGGGGTGCTGAGGATGCTGCAGCACCCCCCCCCCCCCCCCCACCCCCCCACAAAAGTAGTGCACTGGGCCTTTACTAGTATTAGCAGACCGATAAAGACGTCTGTAGTGCAGGCACAAAGTTTTCAGCATATCCGCTTTGGCAAAAAAGGTAGTTGTATAATTAAGAACAGTATCTTGCAGGATTCAATAGTTGGAATTGTAAGAGTTGTTGCCCTGTCCCTTTATTTGCAATTGTCATTCTAATGGAATCCAAAAAGAACAAAACCCTGTACTCAAACATTTACATAAAAAGGTGCAAAGTTATGGGCAAAGACTCAAAACATCAAATTTAATATTTTTCTTGATCAAATAACATGGAAAACAACCACTTTTTTGTGCAGTATTAATGTACCATGCTTACAAACTACTTAATGTAAATGTACATTACTGTACATAGGCTGGTCATCTAGGTTTGTACCTGTAGACTTTCCATCACCATGAAGAAAAACAACGCACACTACATGAATAGAGCACATTGAGACATCAAGAAGTTTGTGATGATGATGATGTGGCTCAGTTGGTAGAGCATGGTGCTTACAATGTTAGGGTTGTCGGTTTGATTCCCACGGGTGACCAGTACAAAAAAGTATTAATCATTTTGCACTCACTGCTCTGGATAAGAGCGTCTACTAAAAAGGAATGAATAGACCATTTCAGTTTTCACATAGAAATAAGTTGTATTTGAAAAGTATTTCAAGAAATTGGAAAACATATCTCAAGCAAGTATTTTTATATTCCACAGGTATTATCAGATTAACTGTTTTGTACAGATAATTATCAGACTCAAGTTACAGATGCTGGTAAACACTAAAATACATTTAGTTTTAAAAAATTCACAAAAGTGATGCGCTGGGCCTTTACTAGTCCTGTATTAGCGGACTGATATAAACTTCTTCAGTGCAGGCATTCTTTTTTTGTTGCATCCCCACCCCTTCTGCAAAAAACATCACAACACCCCCACCCCCAAACTACTTCCCGCAGCTATGATTGCACATTAATGTCAATGTCAATAGAAATGACGGATTGCTTATCCGCTTGTCGTCCCCTTATGCCATAGTTTGTACATCTCAATTGTCAGTAGAAACCACATTTGTTTAAGCAAGTCAACCATATCAGCTATGTTTTTTTTAAAGGCAGTAAATGAGGCTGAATGAACTGTTTCGCTGCCAGACAAGGCTCCGCTGATAGCCAGGTGTAGCAGTGGTAAGATGTTGAGACTACTGTTGGGACAGCTTTATGTAGGCCCTAACAGTTTATGGGCACCGTTTGTCACCGGTATAGTGTAATTAATGTATTGTTTAGTGTTGTGTTGTGTAGTGGCTTTGCTGGCATGCATCCCACATATCATTTTTTTTGCCCCACCAAGATTTGCATGCTAAAATTGCCACTGATTGTGCAACAACTCCGTAGACAGCAAGCTCATAGGTGCACTATTTTCCCCCGGCCCTAACACTCAAGTTGTACAGAAGAAGAGTACCTCACCGTAAATTAAGCCTGAGATATTGCCCTAATCCATGATAGGGGAGTAACAGAGACCCAGACAGATGATGAAAGCTACTTACTGTATTTAACTTCCATTGTTACAGTGTGTGGGCACGCGCACACCACAGGAGGCCGCTGAGGGGAGAACAGCTCATAATAATGGCTGGAACGGAGCAATGGAATGGCATCAAACACCTGGAAACCATGTGTTTGATGTATTTGTTACCGTTCCACCGATTCCACTCCAGTCATTAGATAGAGCCCGTTCTTCCCAATTAAGGTTCCATCAACCTCCTGTGACTCACACACACACACACACCATCAGCTGATCTGGTCAGGAAGGCCATGAGAAAAGGAGTACAGAACTGTAGAGAGAAAATCACATCAACAGCTCACATCCCTGAAACTCTCACAGCCAACTCCCATCCCAAACTATTAGTGTTGAGCTGAAACTTTCCACTCATGACTGTACTTCTCTTCTGCGTGTTCAGCGGAAAGTCAAGCCTGAAGCACCTCCCTCCCAGAGTCACCCTGTGGTCAGGATTGTATTCAGTAGTGCATGCACACTGTAAAAGAAAAAAAGGTAATTATGTGGCAACCAGCTGGAATAGGATTGTGCATGAAATGTGTGTGAAAATGTTGAGCAAACTCACAATCCTATTGCAGCTGGTTACCTTACAATTGTACATTGAATCAATATATATATTTTTTTTAATAGTGCAATGGCAAATGTTTTAAAATGTTGTGCAACAGAAAATGAAAATATGATTTTCTTATTGGACACGTCCAGGTAGTCCCTCACTGTTTCAGTCCTTTTTCTTCCATTTTGGACACGTCCAGGTAGTCCCTCACTGTTTCAGTCCTTTTTCTTCCATTTTGGACACGTCCAGGTAGTCCCTCACTGTTTCAGTCCTTTTTCTTCCATTTGGTGCCAAATGAATGCAACTCAGCAGCAGGACTCAGAACAGGAAGAGAATACTGCTGCCTGAGGTTTTGGTGCTCGTGGAATCACGAGTTCTGCGACTGGCTGGCTGGCATCACAAGAGTATTATTAAGCATAACATAAGAGAGCGAATATAATGACTCAGTAATGATCAAGCATCATAGGTAAAGAAGAGAAGTAAAAATATAATAATAATATGCCATTTAGCAGACGCTTTTATCCAAAGCGAATTACAGTCATGCGTGCATACATTTTTGTGTATGGGTGGTCCCGGGGATTGAACCCACTACCTTGGCGTTACAAGCGCCGTGCTCTACCAGCTGAGCTACAGATGACCACTTATAGTACAAGTAACATATAGCCCATAACTACTGATTTCTATGGAACAGCCAAACAGGGTGTTTGTTCTCAAAGTTGAACCTGGAAAATTGTTTTTATTGTTAGTCATGGAATGCAGTTCAACTGTCCTTCCTTTCATGTTATGATTCAACTTTTAATGAAGACTGTGACAGTGGCATAAACTTTTGCACATAATAACATATAGCCTACCCCTGCACTATCAGTTTACACTACCTGATTCACAACCATTAATGATATTTTGTTTTTCTCCAATACAGGTAACCTACAGGTAATTCAAAATTGAATGTTCAATCAATCCTTTTAAGGGCAACTTCTAAAGGCATTCCATTTGTTACCCACCACCAGAAAGAGCTATGCGCTTACCAGGTTAGTTATAAGGTCATTTAGCACCCTCTAATGGGCTATATAGGTAAGTAGCCTACTGTAAGCCCTACAGTAAATCAAATGTGCAGGTTTTGAAACAAAGCAAAGGCCAGGGATACATTTTCCAGAAAGAGTGGCAATATGGGAAATATATAGGGAAGAATATAGAGTAAAAACAATGTTGTTGTGCACTCAAATGGATAACATCTAAGGCCATGGAGACTTGGTATAAGGTGCTCTTTGAAAATGGGTAATGTGTGGGACTGGCAGGAAAACAAGGGGAATGACGGCCACCAATTAGAAAACGAAAAATGTAGAAAAAAATGTATCGTGGGGCTTACTTACTTTTCAGACAAACAAAGCAGTGTAATGGGTTCGCACTCAAACATATGTCGCATAAAGCTCACTTCATTATTCGATGTTTTTAATTGTTTTGCATCAGTGATCGCAAACACAGACGTTTCGGCTTTACAGCCTTCTTCAGTGTGTAGATACAATTTTATTTAATTCAAAACAGCATTTGTAAAGAACAACATATGAGCAGCAGGTGTTTCTAATCAGGGTTGCCACTCATCTGCCAATCAGGGATGTGGCTTTTCTGGTCTACCTGTATACAAATTAGTCACAAAGAGATACAGAATTATAGGGTATGAGAGTGGGCACGAAGGGCAACTCACAAATCAATCGCTCAAGGTGTCCGCTCACCTAAATACATCATATCAATTCATGATAGCACCACTTACTTACTTTTCCCATCAATGCACTCTTGAAGAACAGAGGGAGGAACTTTTTGATTAAAAATGACTATTTCCTTGGCATTTCTACATACAAATGCCAACGCGATAAGGCTTCGTTCATAAGGGCGCAAAAGTAGATCTTGTTTGAGAGAAGTGGTAGAAATTAGTTGACTACCACTATTTTTATAAAATGGATGTTTCATATTAAGTTCAACTGACAGAAATATAATATGTATTTGGTATATAATCCATTTGTCGTTGTGGTCAAAACAATAACCACAGTTTTTGCAATGTGAAAAGAAGGCTACACAAATGTTGTTGTTTTAGGTGCGCTCCAACGCATGCGCAGATCGCCTTCCTCCACGTGTGGAAACAGGATATACGCGCTTCGTCGATACCATCTAAAGGAATTTCAGAATTTGCAAAAATTACGTACAGATAACCCGAAGGAGGAGTCCAAGGAGGGTTTTCTACTTGGGAAGCTTAGCTGTAAGTATCTATCATTCAGAAGACAACCGTCTTTCATTATGTGTTCAATCAAATTATCCTCTGACGGGGAGTTTTATGCGACTGAGTTGTATGAAAGCGGAACTAGACTGCTAGTTTCCACTGCTAGCATAGTGGATCCCTGTGCTAGCCAACAGCACAAACAACTTTACAGGAAGAACTTGTATTTACGTTAGGCGAAATAGCTAAGCTAGCCCAATGCGAGTAAACTTTGTTAGCAATGTTTTCAAGGTATTGGAACTGTTATGTATTACAGGTTACTCTCAAAATACAACATTTTCACCAACTTTAGTTTGCTATCTAGGCTAGCTACCAACTGCTTTGGTTGGGTGTTGTTGGTCTGTCTGCGATCACCTTGCTTGCTCTTGTTACAGTACAACTAGCTAGCTACTGAACTTGTAAACTTCCTGCCAACTGATGACCAAACATTTCCAGCTAGTTAACTGTAACGTTAGCTAACTCATAATAAAAATAATAATATACCGTTTATATACAATTTATCCAAAGCGACTTACAGTCATGTGCGCATACATTTTTACGTATGGGTGGTCCCGGGGATCGAACCCACTACCCTGGCGTTACAAGCGCCACGCTCTACCAATTGAGCTACAGAGGTCCTCACACATCAACAATGTCAGCACAGCCACAGATGAAGGGTTAGTTATTTAAGCAGTAAGGCCCGAGGGGGGTGCTAAATGGACAATACACCACGGCTAAGGGCTTCTGAAATGCAACGCGGAGTGCCTGGATACAGCCCTTACATGCTGACCACACCGCTCGTGTTGCGAGCATTGCAAAATAAATGTACACATACATGTTATTCAATCATTGCGCCCACACGGCTCGCGCATGTCAACGAGCGTCTGCGTAACCAGGTGCTAAAATAGAACTTTGTGACGCGTGATGCGCTTCAAGTCCCGCCTCTCCCATCTCCTCATTGGTTTTTAGGAGCATATGCCCACGTGGAGGTCCACACTCCAGTCCAGTTGGTGGTGGTAATGCAACTTAAAGTTGGTTGCCAACCGCCATATAAAGTCCAAAGAAGAAGAAGAAGAAGAAGAAGAAGAATCCTGAAGGAGGAGAAATTACTAGAAACTAATTCTGTTTACCCTTTTATCGGTGGATTAATTGTCGGAGTAGAGGACCTTGTGCATTTCAGGTTAAATAACCCAATGTTTATATCCCAGGACAAATTAGCTAGCAACAGCCAGCTAGCTAGCTAAATTGCCATAAATGTTTAATGCTTTTCGACCTGTACCCAAATTAATACAGTTGGTTCAGAGTTCGTTTTGATATTTCAACCTGCGTGTCCTGATCGCGTCTGCTGTGGGTGGACAAAATCAACATTTGCGCGATGGCGGTCTGGTCAGCCTGTTAGTCGTGGTATATTGGCCATATACCACAAACCCCCAATGTGCCGTAATGCTATTATAAACTGGTTACCAACGTAATACGAACAGTAAACAAGTCATTTTGCATCATACCCTTGGTATATTGTTTTGATATACCACAGCTTTTAGCCAATCAGCATCCAGGACCCGGTTTATAATATAATCTTTGGCACAGCAGTGGAATCACCCACATAGAAGAAGTTAGCAGATCAATTATTGACTCAACAGGGGTTCATTAGTCGGATTCCGTTGCTAAATGTTTTGTCTGCAACGGAAACCGTTTACTATAGGAACCCAACAGAACGAAATGGGGCGGGACCTACTGAAATTTGTCCAACAGAAACTATAGTTTTCGTTGCAAAACGTGGTACGTTTGGAGTAAACTGTTTCCATTGCAAAACGTTTTGTAACAGACAAAACGTTTTGCAATGGAATCTGACTAATGAATACATCCCAACTGTCATGATGTCATGTGTTTCAATCGATTGTATTGCCATCAAATGATATTTTGTTGACCGTTAGTAGCCGATTTAAACACAACTCCACAATTTACGATGGAGTTGAGCAGAGACTAGTGTTGAGAGAATGCTGAGAGTGTGCAAAGCTGTCATCAAGGCAAAGGGTGGCTATATTGAAGAATCTCAAATATATAATATATTTTGATTTGTTTAACACTATTTTGGTTACTACATGATTCCATGTGTTATTTCATAGTTTTGATGTCTTCACTATTATTCTACAATGTAGAAAATAGTCAAAATAAAGAAAAACTCTTGAATGAGTAGGTGTGTCCAAACTTTTGACTGGTACTGTATATATACTTTCATTTTAGCAGGAAAGATATTACAATTTATACATATCCCAGGCAAAAAAAAGTATTAATTGGAAATGTAAACAAACGCACATCTACACACATACGTTCATATACACACAGCAACTGCACAGCCTACATATAATTAATTTCATAATAATAATGTAAACTCTCTGCACAATCAGTCCTGCGTTCAAATACTATTCCAAATACCCCAAGTACTTTCACATGCATTTGAAGCAAGTATTCAGACGTCTTCCACCTTGAAAATACTAATAATTGAACACTTCAATATACCTGGAAATACTCAAATATACACTCCCATGGGCTCCCGAGTGGCGCAGCGGTCTAAGGCACTGCATCTCAGTGCTTGAGGCGTCACTACAGACCCCCTGGTTCGATTCCAGGCTGTATCACAACCGGCCGTGATTGGGAGTCCCAAAGGGCGGCGCAC